AAGTGATCATCTTAAACCTGAAGTCTATGGAATGGTTTTGTTTCAAAATATGATGGGCGACTGCCGATTTTTCAGGTCTTCCATATTTTAAGTGTGCTATGTGTTCCTTATATCTTACTTTAATAGATCTTTTTGTCTGTCCATAACATTTTGCATCGCAGTCTTCACATTCAATTTCATAAATTCCAGACTTTTCCGAATTCTCGATTTTTTGGACTTCCCAAAAGGCTCTGTAGTGTATGACTTGTTTTTAAAACCACCTTGATACCTAGTTCCTTTGTATGAAGGTGGTAACTAGGTATGGTATGATAGGTATGGTATGGTAACTAGGCTCAAGCCTACTCAGCCTGCTGGTAAATCCGCCACTGTCCTTATATACATATACTCGAAAAGCATTACCCTCCCGCTGGTTCAGTCGAGTAAAAAATATGTATTTTTTTTTATGTACCTACTTTTTTCCGGACACGGAGTACAACTGCACCGCCTTGCACCTCACTGCCGGTACCGATGACTATGGTGAGTTCCGTGGGTTGCCTTGATAATGGATGAACGTGCTAATAACGTCCGTCCACAAAAAAGGTACGTAGATGCCATGTACCATCGCAGAGCTCGTTTTTGTGTAGTGGCTGTCTGACATGAAAATAACCTCTATGTGTGTGAAGTGCACGTATTATCAAATGTGAAGTGAGGGCCCCCTTCATTCACGCGGGTATCCAGGTTCGGATAACCACGTGAAGGGGAAAGGTCTCCTGAGCAGGAGGCTAACGTAAAAAAAATATATTTTTGAATGAACCAACAATGAGTAAAAAATTATGAGGTGGCAGTATTGCTGCGCAAGACTGCTGCGCCTCCAACGGAAAGTCTTGTCAACTGTTGACAGTTTGACAGGAGGAAATTGGCCAAATGCGCTCGAAAGGGAAGCAACGGCCTTATAAAGTAAGAGAGAGAAGTATTTGTTTATGGTGAAATTGGTGAATTGAACTGTGGCAACACTGAACACCGAGCAGAATAGTTAATTCAGAAAGCATTGTTGGTAGTTGGTGCGGTAGATCGGATGTTAAATAATTGATATAACAAATAGGAAATGTAGGTAGTGAATTGAAAATAATTTGTTCTGATTATTCAGGAAAGGTTGTCTTTGAAGTTTGACTTGGCTTAAAATGGATCTAGCAGAAACTATGAAAAATGTTCTTGCCAAAGGAATTCAACAGACCTCTGTTAACGATCTTCCATCTTCAACTGCTTTGGGATTTCCTGGTACTGGTTATGTTACAGAAAAACTGTATATGCTGCTGCAGTTATATCTGCAAAATAAAGGGTGGAATCCGTCAGTAGAACTTTTACAGTGCTTCACAGAGCTTAAAGAAACTTCTATGCTTCCAAGTGCAGCTTATTTGCAGTAAGTGAATATTTTCTCTTATCATCTTCCTAATCTTAAGTAAAGCCTTGTGAATTTTAAATTCTTGAGTCTTGGCTGAATTTTTACGGTCAATTCATTATAACTTCTATTAAAGACCATTATTTATCATTAAACATCATCATATGATCATAGACATTGGTAATGTGTCACGAGCAATGAGCCCAAAATTGAATCTTCTACAAATTCAAATTTTAAATTAACTTTGAAAATTGGCACAAGTCGTAGTACGCCCAAATCACAATTTGAAGACCATAAGATCGAACCCAACTTCACCCAGATATTTTTTTCAAAAAAGATTTTTTCAGTTATGTATTCCATGCCAAACTTCAGTTGAACTATCAGCTGTTCCAATCAGAAATTTCAAATTAATCAGAAACCAATATTTACCAGACATGCGCGTTGACAACGATTTACAAACAGTTGGAAATCTGTTTGTGACTCAAGGTTGGAACAAACCTATAGGTTGAGTGACAGCTTATTTATAGAGCCCATGGAATTTTGAAAATAAATCTGTACAAGTCTACAAATTGAGATAAATCATAAGTTTAAAATTGAATTGACTCACGTTATTCTCATCTCAACAAATGCTTGCCATTAACTTTGATGCAATAATATAGTTTGTGTTTTTGGGAATTATGGAGCATTTCTGGAGTCATTAGGTGCCATTCATTTGTGATGTGTCGTGAATCTTCTAGTAAAGCAGGTTGAGTTCTGATTTCCAAATGCCCCCACAAGTACAAGTCTAGAGGAGATAGGTCTGATGATCATTGGGCCATTTGATTAAATTTCACTTACCAATCTAGCAACCTAGGAAATGTTGATCTAAATGCTGCTGAACAAGCAAAGCATAGTGCGGAGGAGCCACCATCTTGTTGAAATATTAATGGACCCTCAGAATACATTTATTTCATTTTTGGAGATTTTGCTAATGTATCTCATGTAATATGTTGAGATTCAAATCAGCCCATTATCAGGATTGACTGTACCAATTAAAAGAAAGAACATTCATCATTGAAACCTCACAGAATTGTGAATGTCGATCAAAATCATTTTCATTCAGTTCTGGTTTTAATTCAATTTTGTGAAGATGAAATTTGTGACTTGAAAATATTCTAAATACTGGTTCCTTAAACACCGAAAATAGTTACTAGCTGCCTTATACTTAACCTATGATCAAGCTCAACACAGCCCAAAATTACCATTGTTTCCTTATTAATGACCTAATGACCGGAGGTTTATTTCACCATATTTTTTTTGTTTTCATTCCGTTTCTCAGAATTTTGAAACTAATTCAGACACTCACTATCTCGACATAGTCCTTCCTTGAACCCTCTGGACCTGTACGTCAAGGAGGTTGCATTAATGGCAATGTTACAATTGCGCACGGCTTGTGTAAACCTCGAAGTAGGAATGGGTCAATTGAGGCTGAGCCTATGGTGAGAAGCGCTTACTGCGCAACCTCTGCTACAGGCAACCAGTGATGCAATTGAACCCAGGTTTGTGTTTAATAAACTCTACAAAACACAAATAAAACAGAACACAGAGTCAGATGCTACAAATGCCATATGCATATATACAGACGGCTGAAAAACCAAAGAAGGCTCAGGATGTGGAATGTACTCTAGATCACTAAGCCTACGGATTAAGTGGGGAATTGGAAAAAATACCAGAGTGGTTCAAACAGAACACGCTGGTATCTCACTTGCCACAAAAGAAATAACCAGAAAAGGAATTTCTGGCAAAAACATAACAATCTGCACTGACAGCAGATAAGCCCTATTAGCCTTGAATAGACAACGTATTACCTCAGCGCTAGTTCTAGAGTGACACCAAGATTTAGCCAAAACCTCGGTAGATAATAACATTATCCTGAGGTGGATTAAAGGGCATGACATGAGTAAAGGTAATCGCATTGCCGACTCTTTAGCCAAGGAAACGGCTGGACTAAGAATTTTAGGACCCAGTAGCATTTCTGACCGGCCACTGTCAACTAAGGAAATACCTCTACAAATGGGGCTAGTAGACACACCTGTATGCAGGATGTGTGAACAGGAAGATTAAACTGTCAGGCATGTCCTATGCGAATGTCCGGAGTTATCGTCGATAAGAGAGTGTGTGTTCAGCTAGTCTTGGCCTACACCTGTCGCTATAAAGAAGATGTCTCCCAGAGACCTGTACACCTTCCTGGAAAGGACAGGATGGACGATGATCTAGAAGGACAACTCCTCGGGAGGATATACAATGGGTCACATGTGACCTAAGCAGTGTTGCCAACTAGTAAAACTATAAAGTCACTACACATGAATCAAAATTCCGCTACACTGCTTCACATTCCGCCACGCTTGTATATCTGACGCAATCAGTTGGCTCATACGTCCTATCCAAAATTAAATACCACAGAACTTAGAGTTTGTAGTTTGTGTACCGTTCAGATACCACCAAACTGAACTGTCACTAATGTAAGTAATCGGGATCATGCTAATTTTCAACCGCGTAACTCAGTAGATGGTACCTAATTTTCTAAGTTAACAGCAGTTAAGTTTTGAAAGCTTCAAAAAATGATTTTGAAAAGTAAAAATAAAAATCAATTCGTTCACATACATATAGTCACAATGAGCTCTTGAACAATAATTCGCGATAGGTCTAATCCATCCATTCAAGTTGGAATCAGACAAACAGTGTTGAGAAAAAGTTTTTTTTCGGAACTATTTGTATTTTTTTGAACATGTCCCATTCCCGTCAATTCCAACTGCGATATCTCTTTCGCTCGAGTCATAATCAAATGAACTATCTTCTATTTCCACTGTACTTTGTTTCATTTAAGATAATACTCGAGACAGTCGAGATTTTTAGTTTCAAGATATTGGACGTTATATGGTTTATGATATGAATGAAAATATTCAAAAATATTCTTCTTCTCATTCATCATGTAATGGCCTCACTACTAAGACTATAACGTATTAGCTAATCTTTTTTTCAATATAGATGAAAAAATAGGCAAAAACTTTCGCACAGCTATTTTTGTACATAAAGTAGTAAATAACGAACAACTTCTGCACTTTTAATAAAATGAAATGTTCTGAAGTTCATGATGTGATTACAAGAAAGTTCCACCTAATTGAGGTCCATGAACAGAAATATTCCTTCTTTCAAACATCATTTAGCTATTCAGCAGATATCCTTCCTAGATATTTAACCTCAAAACCTCTGTTATTCCTACATTTTTCAAATTCATACTCATGTGGTAAATTCATTGCCACCACTTTATAGTATAGATAAGTTTCATAATGTTTTTAATTTAAAATAACTATTGGTTATGTTTACTTTCGTGAGTGTTTATAATGTATTTACTATTGAATATTTGTAAACGGTACGGGGTTGGACTTCGTCAAGGATGAAACAAAATACATTATTATTATATGTATATTTGTAAGGAACACACTAGTGTTTGTTGTGAAAAACTCTTTTCTGAAACCATGTCGGTATAATGTCCATCTAAAAGTTCAAAAAATCAATGTATGATACTTTTTCTAGTATTTTTGAGAACACAGGAAAACATTAGCAAATTTTGACATTTCAGGTTATGGAATCATATACAATTGGGAGAGAAAACTTTGGAATGGAAAAGGATTTCATCATAGAAGTGGTACAAAATTGTCCCAATCCAGCTTGCCGTTACTACAAAAATCAAATGGAACTCACTCAGAAAACTTTACAGCATTTAGCTCCAAGTTACTTAGGAGAAGCACAACCACCAAACAATCCTGATATGAGAAATAGTTAGTATCATGTGGGGCTTTTGGGGGTATCGGTGCGAAATATTTCTTATACAGCTGCCGGACTGAGTCATGGCCGCTGAGAAGCCCCTCCCTCAAGATGTGCAGTAGATGTGTAGAAATCTGTTATCAATCTGTTAGATTATTCAAGCCGAAAACATCCAAATTCAAGACTGTATTCAGTTAGTGATGGATTAAAAGTAAATTGCATAAACATATTTTAAATACTGACCCAAACTTTACGCAGATATGATTTTTCCCACCGGCCATGACTCAGTCCGGTAGCTGCAAGTAAAGTTGAAAAATTCTGCAAATGCATTTCAAAATATTTTTATTATAAATAAACACAGTTTCCACAGCCATACATTTTTTTTTTTCAATGCAGGATTGAGTGCAGTAGACTTAACTGGTCAAAGTAATCTGGAGGTGAAACCAAATCCGCCAATGCTGGAAAGACCAAAATCTGTAGCTCCCACTCAACAGCAGATCACTGCTGCTCTCATTCAACAACAAAATCGTGTTATCGCCCAACAGAATATCGACAAGCTGAATGCAAATCTTGAGAAACAACGTCAACAGATGCAGTTACAGCAACAGATTGATATGGCGAAAGGTCAGCAGAAACAACATTTCGATGTGCCCCTGATGGATCACAAGCTGACAGATTTTTTGAGAGCTAATTTGGAAAATTTAGAGGGTACTGTTTCATTCCACCAAGTAGATAATAACAACAATACCTCTTTCAATTGAATACTTGAATGTATTATTAATTTTTATTTTTAGGATTTTCTGCAGCAAATAAGGATTTGCTGGCACTACACAATGGTGCTTGGGCACCTGCACCCGCTATGTCTGCTCCAACAGATAATAAAAACATTGGTGAAGGGGGGCAAGAGAAGATTGTTAGAGCATTTGCTGAGGTGATGAAAAACATGTCCCGTATGAAAACTTATGTTCGTCCGGCCATGTGCAAGCCTTATGGAAAACAATCAGAGGCTTTACAAAAAAGTAAGAATTTTTTTTCAACAAATATTTTCTAATAACAATATCATTACCTGTTCTAATCCAATCACATCTTTAGTCACTGGTAGAATTCCAGTAAATAACGTGATTCTCATACCATGGCATCAGACTTGTGAAGTTTTTCCATTCACATCAAGAACTCTATAGCAACACCCAAAAAAACATTCCTTGTCTATTTAGATCATCATCAGAGCTACATTTTAAGTGCCTCACTACAAGAAATAAATAAATGTTCATATGTTATCACACCAGCTTTTGACTAATAATTGATATATAGTAGTCTTAAACATAAACAACAAAAACGCCAACTCCACCAACTCCATCCTGTAAAAGGATTTATCTGGATGCACTTAAAATATCAAAATCTGTCCCTATCTATAAAAACAAAGGATTAAAAATTAAGTAATCAACTACAGAAACGTATGTTTGCAATCACAATTAGCAAAAATAATTGATTTTAGCTACTCTATGAGATTGAGTAAATTCACTGAACGGCACAAACTCATTACTGATTGCCAGCACGGCTTTAGGCAGAAAAAATCAACATCTACTACAACTCCTACCTCTAAAATATCTCAAAACTTTATACTACTCGCTTGTGGAAAGTCATATCCGCTATGGAATGGTAGTTTGGGGAGGAGCATTAAATAGTCATATTTCTCAAATTGAAATTATGCAAAGGCGTTTTCTTTAATTAATATTCTCTAAAAATGGTAGGTATCTCTCTGATAAATTATACATCGAAACTCGACTGTTGTACGACAGTTGTATTTTTGGTGCTCTAGCACTAAATGTCATACAAATAGACATACGGCATTGCTTCCTTCACATCAGTACCACACCCGCCAAAGAGATCAGTATACTACACCCTTAATGGTCAGATCATTTACTTACTTTACGCCTAAACTCTACAACCGAATTTCTGAAAATATAAAATCTATCTCAAATATCAATCGCTTCAAAAAAGAGTTGAAAGAGCATATTCTTCAAAGTCAGAGACTTGAACTTCTTTCTACGTCTATTTGAGTAGATGGAAAAAAAAAAAAAACTTGACTGCAATATTGACTATCATAAGAACATGGAAGCTAATGTTGTTGCTAATATGGTTGTTGAATTTGATTGAATAGACTCGTTATTAAAAACTCACCAAAAAATGTTCCATCTACGATATCAAGAGCCATACTGGTCATTTCATAACAAAAAAGCTATATTGAGTAAGAGCTGAGATATAAGAGTCTAATTTGGAAAAATTACAAAAGCCACTTTTTGAATATTAATTTAATCAACATTATTACAGAACAACAACTGAAATCATATTTCATGAATAATCTGATTTTTTTCTCAAGAGTGCAAGAGTATCATCATGATCTCTGTCTAGAACACTCTATTAAGCTGAACACATTCAGTCAAAAACCAAATCTTTGATAAATTGAAAAAAATGATGCTGGTTGTAATCACAAAGATAGATTTCACACTGAAGGAAACCCTTAATTCCCGACATTTATAACTGTCAAACATTGAATTGAATTGAATGAAATCAACCCATCATAATTACCTGCTAATACCATGATCTCATGATGACATCTCGAGTTGAATTCTTGAGAGCCCCACTGTGTGGCTTTCGAATAATGATTCAAGAAGCTTTGATCTTATCTGAAAAATATTTGCCTGTATCTGACATTGCTCTGTCTTTATAACAACTATTAGTAATAGTTTTTTGTTACAGCTCTCATGGATACCGTTCAACTGATTCAATCGCTGCGTAGCTTCTTGCCTCCTCCGCACATTCAGGTCAGTTCTTGGAAAAACGAGGATAAACATCGCTTCGAAGAATCCTAGATGATCCATTCTTTTAATAATGTTGCAGTTGAGAAATAATGGAGGCATGTAATATCTTTGAGGAAGTTGTAGGGTAATGATGGGAAGCAAAATTGGAAAGCAAGTATTTGCTGAGAACTTAAAATTCATAGATAGAATATTTTTACTAAATTGCTCAAGGTGCATTGCAAAATATTTCAGAATTATTTTTTGAAAACATAATGAATTCTTCCTAATGCTTCAAAATCAATCATTAAACGGCTCGATATTGTTTGTACCATACTGTTACATTCAGAGGTTTAAGGTTGTTCCTCTAAACTAGTCTAAACAATGATTTACTCATCATTTTCATGAAACTGTAGGAATAATTTCATTTCCGTATGGTTTCAACTGTTTCATTCTCAAGATACATATTCCATAAGAAATAATTCCATAGAAATAGTTTAATGAGGGATTAACGGAAAATGGCACAAGAATTCTTGAAAAAATATTGGACGGAACGGCACAGGCTTTCTGTTTAGTCACTGGGGTTGTCCAGAGGAAAGTATTTATTATTCAATCTTGTTTCTATTGAAGACAATAATATTCCGAATGTAATTCCAAGATTCCCAAAAAATTGCACTAAATAATAGTTTAACCGAACCCATCAACCACAAAAGGAAGTTTATATAATTTAGTTTATAATTTTTTCACAAAAAAATATATGATCTGGTTTGATAGAGAGTATTCAATGGAGACACCGGTTCAGGTATGAGTGTACCAAAAGCTTTTGCGATTTTTAATTCTCCATCTTTATTCAAAAAAATGTGGGAAATTTCTGAAGGAGGCAGAAAGCAATCGACTTTGGAAATAAGACCTTTTTTTCATTCATAATCTCGAATATCATGCAATATAATTCAGGCTACACACAAAATGTATGGATTGTTTAACAACCAAGGTATGCAGGAGGAAGGAAATAATGCTGTTAATTTGGTAAACATAGAAATCATCAAGTTTTCGACCTTGAAATATAATGAAAAAGGATCTCATGAAATTTACATCACTCACTACCAAATTGAATAAAAGATACTTGAATACTAGATAACTGTACAAAAATTCCTTTCGACCAGATGTTTTTCTTGCAAGAATTTATCGGGTGGAAGGTGGATTCATAGTAAGTGGCTTGGGGCTTAATTAAAATAGCCTATCAAGAACATGAGGTTTATTTTATGACCTCAGTAGTCACTGCTATTGTCTAGTTGTGAACTCCAGGCATCAGCAGAAGATGGCAAATGAGACTTTGCCGAAACATTGTGGAAATAATCCTTGTGAGAAACAAAAACACAGATAGATATACTAGCGACATACCCCGGCTCCGCACGGGTGCAATGCTGATACTAAATATATATATATAAATGCTTGCGATCTCTGCTAATCCTAAAGTGCTATAGAGCGAAGCACGGCCTTCGACGCGCTATTTATAGGCACGCGCCGCCGGTACCACCGGAACCGCTATTTCCCTGCATTTTAAATTTGTATTATCTTTGAAAATATTCATTTAAATTACATGCTGTAAATGGTCATATTGATCTATATTAAATCACAATGTATTTAAGGTACTTAATTGGAGAAGGATTAATGCAGTATTGATTGAAATCACTTTGTAAATAAGCCATCATTTCTCTAAAATAAAAAATAGTTATTGTAGGTTATCCATAAGCGATAGACATATACCATTGGGTACTTTTTTGTAGACCTTTTTAAGGTGTAATTAATTTTACAATTTGCCTTATCTATCATTTCAAAATATGTCCTTATGTAATGTTTAAATGTTATAGCTATATATAAAACAATATTCAGCTATATAAAAAATTAATTTCACAATATTGCCTATCTGAATTTATTTTCACAATGTGTACTTATGTAGTAATCAGTAAATACAATAATATTATTTTAAAAAGCTATATAGTAGGTGCTATTTGGATTGGTCCGTCATTGTTATTCATAATATTATTATGTTTACTTATTTCTACACTCTCATAGGCATCTAGTTGCCTGTTGTTGTTAAGTTTTCTAACTAATCTTAATGAACTGAAATCTATGGAATGGTTTTGTTGCAACATATGATGGGCGACTACTGATTTTTCAGGTCTTCCATATTTTAAATGTGTTATGTGTTCCTTATATCTTACTTCGATAGATCTTTTTGTCTGTCCATAATATTTTGCATCACAGTCCTTACATTCAATTTCGTAAATTCCATACTTTTCCGAATTCTCAACTTTATCTTTTCGACTTCCCAGAAGTTTCTGTAATGCATGACTTGTTTTAACAACCACCTTCATACCTAGTTCCTTGAAAATCTTTCCAAAGTTCTTCGTATATTGGTGGTATGGAACTGAGATGTATTTATCTTGGTTTTTGTCCTTTCTGAAAGTCGAGATTTCGTTCATTCTTAACCTAAACTTCTTCCTTATTATGTCATCTACAATACCCCTCGAGAAACTGTTAATGGCTGCTATTTCCTGTATTGTACGTTTTTCTTTTGCAAACCTATCATGTGATGGAGGGAAAGTCATAAGACGATGCACTAAAAAATTCAACCCAGCACGTTTTTGCTGTCCAGAGTGATGTGAACTGTCAGGAATATATGTACGTGCTTAAAAGCAACCTTCTACCTTTTATGAACAACAGGAAGGAACGGCCATGGGAAATCCCTTGTCCCACTACCTGGCAGACCTGTTCATGATCAGATTCGAAATGGAAACAAAAGAAAAGTCAGTATCTTCCTAGGATTTGGCTAAAATACATCTCAGTTCCATACCACCAATATACGAAAAACTTAGGAAAGATTTTCAAGGAACTAGGTATGAAGGTGGTTTTTAAAACAAGCCATACACTACAGAGCCTTATGGGATGTCCAAAAGACAAAGTCGAGAATTCGGAAAAGTCTGGAATTCACGAAATTGAATGTAAGGACTACGATGTAAAATATTATGGACAGACAAAAAGATCTATTAAAGTAAGATATAAGGAACACATAGCACACTTAAAATATGGAAGACCTGAAAAATCAGTAGCCGCCCATCATATTTTGCAACAAAACCATTCCATAGACTTCAGTTCATTAAGATTTGTTAGACAAGTTAACAATAACAGGCAACTAGATGCCTATGAGAGTGTAGAAATAAGTAAACATAATAATATTATGAATAACGATGACAGACCAATACCAAATAGCATACTGTATAGCTTGTTAAAATAATATTGTATTTACTGATTACTACATAAGGACACATTGTAAAAATAAATTTAGATAGGCAATATTGTGAAATTAATTTTTTATATAGCTGAAAATTGTTTTATATATAGCTATAACATTTAAACATTACATAAGGACATATTGTAAAATAATAGATAAGGCAAATTGTAAAATTAATTTAGGTGTGGTAGACCTGTATGGTTTACCTGAATAGTATATCTGTATAGCATAAGAAGTTTCCAGTTTAATCTTCCTCTTGAAGATGATCACTTAGTGATCGAAACACGGGTCGAGGTGTTAAAAATAACGATTTGATGTTGGGAAAAACTCCAGTAATATTCATTACTACACCAAAGGTTCCAAACAGTGCATGATAAGTATATTTCGTAGGGTTCAGCGAGAGTTTGCAATTTAAGCGCAAAAAAATGTGTTTATGTACGACATCACGTTAAAAACATCTAAAGTTATCAGTGTTTCTCTACCGGTCGGTCGGTAGTCGGGCCGTTCGACGTAGGTGCTTTCTTCACTCAGTCAATCGGCTAATGTGTGAGTCGACGGTTCAAGCTCCAGGCTGAACGCTCGATTTTCACTTACTATCGTCCAACCCGTGTTAGGGATCACACGTTAAAAGGTAAGACCTCGTTAGTCCTTAGCTCGCACAAGTTTCGACTTCTGAGGATTGTCGTTCGTAGGGGTACGATAGCTGGTTAACGGAAAAAACATATTTTAAACACATGCATGTTATATACATATAAACCTTCCTCTTGAATTACTATCAATCAAAAATCCATGTGTAGTTTTAAAGATCAAAGATACATAGGGACAGACAGCGGAAAGCTACTTTGTTTTATACATGTAGTGTAGTAGTAGTAGTATACATGTATGAGGGTAGTGTCATGATTTTGATGAAAAGTCCAAATACTTTGTAACAGTGTGGTGAATGTCCCCAAACAAGGATTCCCTATAGGAGTGTAGGAGCTGAAATAGGCACTCATACTTGTTTCATGGTTCATGGCTGTGAATTTCTGAAAACAAAAAGATTTTTAAATATTTCGTTTGACAAGAATATATTGGACAGTAACATTGCTTTGCTTATCATTTCAATATGTAATTTTGAAATATTTTGCAATTCCTCATCTGAAAAAGTAAAGGAGTATTTGAATATTATCTAATTGATGGTAACTTATAATTCGAAAAAATCCTTCAGAAGGATATAAAATATCTTATTTATGTTCATTCAGTCATATTTGTCATTTCACAGCATCAGACTAGTGAATACAAAATCTACTTTTGTCTTGAACTATTTTTTTGAGAATTTTCTAAAAAGGATGTATAATTAATTCAATTAGATTTATTGTACCAAGAAATTACAAAGTAATGAGTGTAAGTAAGGAAAATGACAAGAGTAGAATGGCATATCTGTATTGTTTTGTGATATTTTGTGTTAATAATTTTCCGTTCAAATCAACATTTGTCTACGCAGTTGATTCAAGTATGACTTGAAATAGATAGACAAACGGGGGATTGATGATATGGATACAGTAGAGTGTTGAAAATCTGAAGGCCTATCGAAGATTTTTTTGAATACATGTTTACATAATTAATGCAGAAAAGACAAGTTACATAATTGATTGTACTCTACATACATATTTCTTCAAGAAATCAACTACAGTAATGTACATTATATGTTTCTATTTACCGTACTGTATTTTTAATACTATATTCTTAATTGTAGATCTAAGCGGCATTTCCAGGTTTTGTTAAAAAATCTGAACAGTCTAGGGTACCAATTGGTTCCGATCTACGACGCTCTACTGTATGTCATCCAGTCAGTCACTGGTTCCGATGGAATGTATTTAGAATGAAAATAGTAGTAATTCAAATCTTATTTTTTCACTCATTCTGAGTTCTTTTTTTTTATTAAAAAATAAATTATGAGTGTGCTCACTCCATTGTAAAATGGAGTCATTTAACATTAAAATTCTAGAGTTTTCACTGGACAATAATGAAACCCGTTAGGGTAAGGTACCTTTGAAATATGAATTTAGATATTCAATGTGTATTTGTAACAAGTATTTCCAAAGATTCCAATCAATTGGGATTCCTTCAGTTCATGGGATAAGTTTATGTATTACTGAATAATAGGAGAGTTTTTGTTTCTGCAATCTGAAACTCTTAGAAAAAATACTCAATGATGAAACATTCAACTTTCTATAAGTGACAATAATTTTTTTTTTTCGTATCAGCATGATTACATATGAATTCTGAAGTATTTTCACATGCCTGCAGTTTCTTCTGTTATCTAGATACTCTGGGATCAAAACCAAGAAAGATAGATTATCTTCCAGGTTAGTTGGTGCCAATTAGGCTTATAACAATTTCCTTTTTTATGGATTAATCATTATGCTAATTTCCTAAAATTTTCATAAGTTCATTTCTATCTGTGCCAATTTCTCTTGATGTTTTTTCATGGTATTTATATTTTTATATCTATTAATTGCTAGAAATCCAAACTTATTTGAAAACACCTTCTGAATGAGTAGGTAAACAAGAGTTTTTTTAATCCATTAACAAATGATGCAGAATTTGCTGTTCTACGATAATATTTTAATATATTAACAATCCTCTATTCCAAAAAATCCAGATTTCCCTGATCTAATTGAAAATTCAATTCATTAGTATCTCCCAAAAATATGGATTTTTTTTAACGTTATACTAGTGGCAACAAATTTTATTGCTCTGATCTCTCAGACCAGGGTTCAATAATTTTGTTCGCAATTTTGGTTTCTACGATCTGTAATATACCTGCCAGCACAGTAGTAGTTGGAAATGTTCATTTTTTTATAATTAAATTTACAAAGAACAAAATAAGTCGTAAATTGAAAGGGGAATATTTTTAGGAAAAATTGGTTTTCGGGGAAAAAAGTTTTTGGCTTTCTACTTCTCCGTCATCAAACAAAAATGAGGGAAACTTCCGAGAAAAAAAAAATAGATCAACTCCAATAAAAAATGTTGATGAAGATGTGGAGATCATGCGCAGAAGTTTTTTTTTTTTATACAAACAGGAAGAAAAAGTCTTACCGTTACAACTATTTTAAAAAATGGTAGTTGTGTTTATCTCTTCCATCGACGCCAATTTGGATAACGAATGTTTGGGATTTCACGTATTTTAAGAGCAGGATTTTATATCCAAAATAATTACCGGATTCATAGTAAACCACTTCTTTATTTTCACTTATTGTACAATACTACAATACACTCTTCTCACAAAAATGTTAGTCTCTGATCTCAGGTAAATTGCAAATGAGTGTGTCAGGCAAAAACCATAGTTTTTTCATAGTAAACCTAAAAATATTCCGTTAGGAAGGTACTGATCATGAGACCTTACTGCCCCTCCAAGATTCTATGAAATCGTAGAATGAAATCATAATTCCTAAATACTTGGTATTTTCAATCCCGAAATATGTGTATATTTATTCTTTGAAGATTCCTGGGATTTTAACCTATCACAATCTGAAATATAAATCAACAGAATATGATCTACGGTAATAAAGGAGAAACTGAAAATTTCCTCCAAAAAAGTTATTGCTTAATATGAACCTTTAAAAAATTCGATTAGTCAGTAATTTGTATTTATAAGCTGTTCCTTAAAAGAGGAGTTTTCCACAATAATTTTTACAGGTTTTCAGAAAGAAAAAGTACCATTTTCCGAAACCGATTTTGAAAAAGCTAAGCACTAAAATTTAATATTTTTCAATTCCTATTTCGCAGTTATTTTTTGGGTGAAATTTTCAATTTGCTCTTTATCACACATTATCAGACTGTCCGTTGATCTATATTTATTCATTTTTCAGATTGTGGAAGGTTTAGACGCCAGAAAACATTAAGAAACGTTGACTCCTCCATAAAAATATATTATTTCAAAGAACATGTAGGTATATTTCTTTCCAAGTCTTTACTACTTATAGTGCACAGGTATGCCCAATTTACAATTCAGTATTTTTGGAATAAACTTAACAAATTCGCTATTTATTTATTGTTTGAGGTGATAAAAATCCTTTCAATCGATATCATTCAATACTACTATTATTGTGACTACATTCCAGCTGTTAAATCTTCTAGATGATTTTACACACTTCAACTTACTTCACTTTTACCTGTTTGGGAATACTTATTGACAACAGTATGACAATTATCAATATGAAAAATTTAAAATTAAAAAAAAAATCTGTTTTTATTGTGATAAATTGTACCTAACCCCTTCATGACAATATTGTGTTGAAGAAGATATTACTGAAGAGATTGTTAATTTGTAATGAGTTGATGTAAAATTTCCAGTGTAACGCACAAGTTGTAGCACAAATTCTAATAATAATGACACTCTGTTCAATGTGTTTAATGTTCATGTGCATTCAACATGACAAAAAGTGTAGTTTTAGAATATGGATAGTAATTTGAAGTTTACTGCTGTTCTTAGAAAAACGGCAAGGCTAATATGGTATTTCAAAATCTAGTCGTGAAGAATGAAATTCTTCCACCCAAAATTCCTGCTGTGATATTTGAGATCAGTTATTAATGTTGAAAATTTGGTTCTTTTTGATTGTAGGTGTTATGAAAGTAAGGAAATAGAAATCTCACTCAAATATAATTCTGACTGGATATCCTAAAATTAGACAGTTGACACTTATTGTAATAAGAGAGAAGTAATTGTATATCTAAGCACTTGTATACCTGTGGGTAACTCTTGTATTATCAATTGTCAGGTCATATCTGGAATGAAAAAGGTTCCTGTAGACTGCTGAAAGTATCAGTTGAAGCTCCTTTATCTATATTTATGAGTTTTCATATATGAAACTCTGAACCTATTTGCCCGAGAGCCAGTGACAGATTTTTGGGGCGAATTTATTCCCATCTGATAATGTTTCATACAATCATTGCTATATAATAGATGTTGCCCTACCCACCCATAGTGAGTATAACCAGCCGACTATTGTAATTATTTGAAACATTATGTAGACATGTTTTTTATGGACCGCTAATTAATCCAAAACTCTGAAAATCAGAAATAAACCACTGAAATAATTTTTTGGTACCTTGTGTTGCCCCATCCACTAACTTTGGTCCAGCTGATGTCCACCAAGTTTCATTAGAAAATAGTTGTGAGAAGCATTCCTGGAAATAATTGACTGGAAAAAGTCGCAGGTTCTCGGGTCATATACTTATTCTCAAATACAGGTTTATTTCTGATTTCTCAAGTCAGAATATCAGTAGAAGGCTAGATAGAAATTGTTTTCATTCTTTTCAAATTCCCAAACAATGAAGATTATTTTTCTGGAAATAAGTTTATTACATGATCTGCCTAGGTCCAGATATGACTTGATGATTTGCATAATAAGAATAAAAAATGTTTTGAGTGTCCATCTTGCCAATATTTAGTATTATTTTGCTTTGAGCTTTATATATTTGTATACAATGAGTAGATTTTGCAGTATTTTGAAATATGTGATAGTTGATTTTTTTTCTAGCATAACAAAGCTTTTGTGCAATTTTGAAATAAAAAAAGAAAAGTAAATGAATTTTAATTTATATACCTTGTTACTGTGGATCAGGTGGCTCTACCATAGAGAAGAATGGAAATAACAAGGTAAAAGATTGTTACTTAAGGATGGTATCCACAATAGTGTAGTCACCAATTGATGAGATTCGTACGAGAGATACTCTATAAACTGATATGTCAAAACAATGGATATTTTCTTCAATAAATTGAAAATGTTATATTAATCAAACATTTTTAATAAAACGAATTATCACTACTATTTTTCAGTAACTCCATGAATTCAGCAAACAAAAGCAGCTTTTCAACAATTTTCTCAATATTTCCCTTAAGACAATCAAAAAAATTTACTTATATCATTAATTTCGACATTGTGGTCATTATATTCACATTACTGGTATTCAATTATATTGTAATATTTTATAAGGATATCAAGTTGAGGCTACTCTCCATTCTCAATACCTACATTCTTCATGCAGCCGCTTGTTTTTATATGTAGGTCAAATATAAATATGTTCTCTGGAAAGTAGTTTAACAATAGGTTTCATTTGAATGTTGTACAACATATTTAAAATACGAGGGATTTACCAATACAGAGTCTTTCACGATGAGCGTTAGTTAAGAATATATGGAGAACAATTGTTAAGAATATATGGAGAACAATTCAAAATAAAAACTTGAAATTTTGTGGTAGTGGGTTTTACAAGATGGCCTTCTCAACTTCCAGTCTCTTTCAGTTATACAGGAAGTTGACAGCAACTTCCTTAATTCAAATGGAACATCCTATATTTTGTTACATTTTTTAATTTCTCAGCACATTTTAGGCCACTTTGTATAACAATGCCTATACCCAAATTTGTTAGTTTTCAAGATATTAATTTTTTTCTGAAAAATTTGCCAGTTACAGCACCGCTCCGAAAAAATAATAACTCATAGGCAGTAACAGTTGAAAGTGTAAAATTTCACAGAATTACACCTTAAGCATCAAGTCATGAACAGGCCCATCAAATTTTCAAAAGTAATTTACAGGTTGGTCGAAATTTCCACCTGAAACAACATCGAGAAAAATGACAAGATTTTTTCAAATGGAAACCATACACTATTCTTTTATTTTTGGATACTATGAAAAAAAAGATAACAAATTCATGAAGAATGTCGTATAGCTAAAATACACCCCTGTCAAGATATATCCGATTTTAGGAAATATTTGAAATGTAAATCATTCGAAGCAATACTAAACCAAGAACAGGGTGTTCCATTTGAAATAAGGAAGTTGCACTCAACTTCCGGTATAACGGAAAGAGAGTGGAAGTTGAAAATATTTTAGTTGAGAAGGCCATTTTGTAAAACCCGCTACCACAAAATTTTGAATCGTTCTCCATATATTCCTAACGAACGCTCGTCGTGAAAGACCCTGTATACAAAACTGTTGACAGAAAAAAAATTGCAATTATTCTTAGGTTCATATAAAAGATCAAAACTGATGAGTCAAATCTTGGTTTTGGTTTCTAAATAGAAAATTCAGAAAATATTCAATATTTATTTATTCATGAAACAAGCCTAAGAAACAAAAAAGGGGTCAGGACAATAAATACATTCTACACCTGAAGAGTACATTTGTTTTCAGTAGAATATATTAGAGTTGATTTTTTTTCATGTGCAAAAAACATAGAACGGTCACAGAATGAAAAGTAAATCATTTCTATAATAATCAACCATAACTCAAGGATATTATATAAAGATGGATTTATGTACCTAATTAAATTGTAAATGAAATCCATCATCTTCTGCTAGTCAAATCCAAAGAAGTTATAAAAAAACGGATGTGATGAATTATGTTGAGAAATATTTGCAAATTCAGTAAAATAAATATGAATGTCATTGACATTCATTCATTATTGCTTTCTCATATTGTCATTAAAATCTATTAATTCTAATCTCATATTTGAAAATTCCCAACCTTTTCAATTTGTGATTTTCATTTAACTGTCACACTTTTTTGAGATCTTCAATGAACAGTTTACAAAACCGCAACATATGTTTTTCCAAGCACATTGAATACTAATATTTTTAGTATTTGTTGTTACAACTTTCAATGAAAATCTGGTGTATCAACTGTTAAGTTGAATTATTTATTTGCAAGGGTTTAATATTGACTTCTCTAAAAAATTCATGAATAGGCTGTTCCCATCTTTTCTCAAAATAAATGTTCAACAAAAAATTTGCAGTTGCTCCGGTCTTGCAAGCCCAGGGTAAATAGTAATGTAAATAGAGCTGACGTTGTTTGGGTTTTAATCTAATTGGTCCAAAAATTGCTCCACCTATGCACATTGGTAATGTGGTTTGAATTGCCTCAACCCATTTGACTGTTACCTCTCCAAGCATGTTAGTGGGCATTTGTAACACCGTATGAATCAAGTCGTGAACTTCTCTATATCTTTGTAGAACATAAGCAAGTTCTATGTCATCAACAAATTGAACTGGTACCCGAGAATCTGGCGTGACTTCATTTTTTAGTAGAAAATTGCTATAGGTCTTTCCTAAGGTGCCTTCAGGTAAACTTCCTAAATAAGCTACATCAACAGTTTTTGTATTTATTCTTGGTTTTTCCATGAGTATTTCGGAGCCTTCCTTCGATTCTTTCATCAATTCCAACATGTATTTCGCAGAATATTCACCACTCGTTTCTGCTAAACAAGCAATCATATCTCCACGATGTGGATCTAAAATCGATACCATAGCTGATCCTATGGTTAGCAATGATTTCTGAATTGCACTAGTTTCAATGTGATTTTTGCAAAAATCATCTTGAAAATTCAAGGCAGGGGTACAGTACTGCCTCACTCCTACAATTTTACTTTGAAAGCGAATAATATTAAATATGTGTGATTTCATTTTCCTTGTCAATACAATCAAATTATTATTACCAAAGAATGTAAGGTAATCTTTTTCATTACTTATAATTCCTCGGAAAGAGGAACACTATATTATTAATTTTTATATTATTTATCTATTCTTATCTACTTTGACTAATATTCAAAATTGACACCTAACCACAATAAGGCGACAGCCATCTTGGTTTCGGACAGGTTGGAGCCTGGCTCCCTTGCCCTTTGGNATGTCAGAATTCGAATTAGAGTGATCCCGATCATCTTATAGGAAAAGTTGAAGGAAATCTGAAAATTAGGTTAATTCAATATCGGAAAATTTTTCGTTCTATTCAATTTTTTGTTCCTGTGGCAAATTATTCATTCTATAAAGTCTCATTAAAAATTCAACATTCCGTATTTTTTTTGTTTTATTGTGAATTCGCAAAACCGTATAGAAATAAACCACCGTACTGCTAATAACCTAGCAGTGGATGCCGCAAAAAAAACAAAAAAAAAAATAAACCACCGTAACCACCGTATAGAAGCAAACAATTCTATACGGTGTCGTTACTATACGGAATACTGTCACAGCATAGGTTAAGATTGTTACCTATGCCACCGTATTCTATGCTGTGATACTGTTGTGGTCGTGGTCTGGTTGGCAACACTGAAACATATCGAACATTAATAGACGCTGGAAACAGAAAATATTCATATGAAGAAATTATTGAAATATTTTTGTTTTTCTGACGACAATTTGTAGTTTTGTGACTTTACTGAGAGTAACGTTGATATATAACTGTGACCTTCCTAAAATAAAAATGTACAGGACCGATAAGCAATTCATGAAAAATCCAGCAACTGCTGGAGCAAGAATATATGTAGGCGCTCTTGGTAAAACGGTGATCGCCAATGACTTGGAGGAAAAATTTAAACAACATGGAAATATAATAGGTTTGTCTTTGAATACAGGGTTTGCTTTCATACAGTATGAGCATGATCATGAAGCACAAGCTGCCATTCAAAAAGAGAACAATTCTATGATATGTGGAAAGAAAATAATAGTAAAGCAAGCAAATCTAGGCCCGCAAAGAGGTCCACCTCCAAGATTGGGTCCTTCTGGACCACAGCATAGGCAAGGTCCTCCTTCAGGGCCTTTACAAGATGTCCCATCAAAACCAAATATTATGCCTTTGTTATCGACTCCACTCCAACAACCTCCTGGTTCTAAGATTTCACCAGATTCTAAATTCAAACCAGATAATGATCATGAATTTCAAGATGATATTATAGAAGATGATAGGCCTAATATTCGTCCACCTGGACCACCTCAGCATAATGATGACAGAGGTCGAAAAGGTGCTAGGAGAGGTGGAGTTAGAGGAAGGTCCAATGAACGTGACAGGCTAAGGTTTGAACCTCCACCTAAGATGGAAATGTTTAGAGATCGGGAACCGTTCTATGGAAGGGACAATCGTGATTTTCCTCCACCTCACAGAGAACCTTATGCAGCCCCCGTAATTGAACCTCCTCCTCCAGTAGTAGATAAAAATGATTGTGAAATCATTGTTGTTGCTAAAGCTCTCACGTAAGTTGTTAAAATGAGTTTACCAATATATAGCAAGTATATTTTAATGTCAATATTTTTTTTGCTGTGCCTCCATTGTTTCCATTAATATTTTAAGTTTTTTTTTTGGGCTATTCAACCCGTTCATGGACAGATGCCTGCCTGGAGATGACAACAAAATGCACCTCACTTCATCTTTCAAATTTTATTCAAATTTATATTTTTGGGAACAAGGACAGTTCACAATAGTTTTTGAGTTCTTCTACAACAGTAAACCCTAACGCATATCATAAATAATAATAATGATAAATGTCATTTATTGGTGAATACCAAAAGGGCCATCAACCGAAGTCCTTCGGCCAGTGTACAATATTGAAATATTTGCAGTGATTTTTACATATGCTTACATAATAGATTTGAGGTACATTATATTTCTGACAAAAAAAATTATAAATTATGAGAGTGATATGATGTTTTCCCAAATAGTTTTTTCAAATATTTGAATTTGGATGGTTGTCCTTCAGCTTTTTGCCTACATAATGTCTGTAGGATTTCCAAGTTAGTTTAATTTTTGGCAAAGAGGTTTCCTAGCTCTGATAGTCTCTCCTTTATAGGTTTCACTTTTGTAGTTCTATAGAGCAGTGCATTTGAGGGATTGTGTAGTATGTTCTGAGGGTGATGTATTTTGGTAATACTACTTAGTGTAGATGTTTCAGCTGTTTGGAGATTTTTTAATTCATGATGACGACAACTTGAATAAATTACATGTGCATATAAGTCGATAAAAATCATTTATACATCCCTTATCACAAGTACAAGATAACTTTAAGATGCAACTTTTTTTCTGTGATATTTTCTGATTCTGTAGGATTAAGAATTGACCATACCAGTGTTTTAAATAACAAGCTATTGAAGGTATAAGAACGACAACCCTCAAAAGTCGAAATTGTGGGAGTAAAGGACTAATGAGTTCTTACCTTTTAATGTCCGCTTTCTACCAGGAAATTATTTTAGTATACTCATTCAAAATGTTTTTTCATTTCACCCTTTGGCGATATGTTTTCAGAAAAAATGCAACTCCAATAGGAAATATTAACACCTATGTATTTTTCAGTGAATATGCTGAATTTATAGAACAGAAGTTGAAGAATCTGGGTCTGGAAGTTGATCTACTTTTTCCCAATGAAGATGTTCCAATTGGTAAAGTTTTAGCCAATATTTCCAGTCGAGGATGTCTTTATGCCATTCTTGTAATGCCTATAAACGAAGAGCATAGGAGTTTGACTTTAAACATACTACATGGAATTACACAAGGTTAGTCCAGTTTTCTGTCTTCTACCTGTTTGAACAGTTTTGTGCTATTATATTTGTAAGCCACAACGGTTGTTGGTAAACCTCAGTTTTAAAACATTCATTTACACTCAATATGAAACATTTATTTTGGTGTTCTTCAGTTGATAGTTTCCTTACAACAATTTCAGCTTCCTTGAAGTTATTTCGTTTTTTGCAGTTATATACAGGGTGGGCCATCGAAAAGTTGATATGGGGGTTTTGGGTACTAATCTTGCAAATCCGAAAAAACGCTTAGACAGGTCGATTTTTATTGGGAGGGCGACAGTTTTTTCCCCATTTACAGCATCGTCACTTCAACCATGGAGCAGAGGGGTGAACAACCCTTGGAATTTTAATAAGGAATAGGGAGCGAGTCGCACATCGTTTGAAAGATCTTGGAATTCTCTAAACAATGGTGTACCTTTTTTTTAATTTGGACATATTTAAAAGAATTCTTTCTGATAATTAACTTTTTCAATATTGTTAATACCAACAAATTGTTGTACGCCACTGCTCAGTTGGAATGTATTTGGAACTCTTTCATTTGTTTCTTACGCTACTTTTTTGTTAATTTTTTAGTTCCTCTCTGATAAGGGGACTATTACAATTGAGAAGTGGTTAAAAATGCTGTTTCTATTTCTTATTTTTATGTTAAAAGTGATATCTACATTATTACTAGTAGTAAGTGCCGTAAAATTAGCGTTTGTTTCCGGGGTGTCACGAACTAGCATTCGGCGTATTTTAAAAACCCACAAAATGCATCCTTACAAGGTTAAATTAACGCAATATTGTAATGAAGAGTATTTCGATGGACGCTTGAAATTTTGCGAGTTGGTTAGTGAACGAGCGGTTGAAAATCCACATTTTGTTTTCAATATTTGCTTCAGTGATAAATGTTCTTTTTTTTCTAAATAACACAGTTAATCGCCATAATTGTCGCTATTTGGCTGATTCAAATCCTCACATTTTTCATGAAGTACATACTCAATGTCCATAAAAATTAAATGTATGGGCTGGAGTTTTTGGTGACTGTATTGTTGGCCCATTGTTTTTAGAAGGCAATTTAACCGGACAAATGTATCTGGAGCTTCTGGAAGATNTCGTCTTCGGTAAATTCAAATAAACCATATATAAATGAACTTAATGTAATGATCCAAAACTGCTGATTTTATTCAATTGAGGAAATCAATGCAGTCTTTAGAAACTCAAGAAAACAAATAAATTTTGGGTATATGGTCAAAATTATTGATATCGTATTATCATAGCTGTTTTTAGATATATTTTTTTTGGAGATAACATCAACTTTGTTACTTCATTTTTTTATCCATATAATTTTCATTTTTGTGGACTTTTATTTTTTGTTATGTTTTCAATATATTTTAACAAGCCACCATTAAATTTCAATAAATGTTATCGTCAACAAATTTCTGGACATTCTCAGCCCAAACCTGTATTTCACCACATCCTACAAACAAGTGTCGGTATATAGGCCGGCACTGCACTGGTGCGTAGCGGCGCAAGACTTTTATACTGTTTTCGACTATTTCACTCACTACTAATTTTATTCGATACATTCAACATTCGAATGATCTGAATCATTCGAATGATTCCATTTTACATCTCGAGATATCTCGAGTGATTGCAATAATCGAATGACCGATTATTTTTAATGATCCCATCACTGTGAAGTACAGGAGTTGAAAAAACTTTTTTGTTGATGTCCACTCTATACTTTCTGTAGAGGTTCTGATATTCTACATTGAGTTTTTCTTACAATATTCTAATTTCGTCAAGTACAAGACTCATTAATATTCAAAATGTTATTTTTGTCCTGCCCTCCAATTATTATTTGTTTAAGATAGTTGTTTTCAATTTAAAGTTTTTATTTTTCAACCTGTCCATTTATTATAGATGTTATGTTGGTCATTCTGAAATAAAACTTATTTTCAGAACATAGAAACATGCCCATAGATGATGCTATGATATTAATATCAAGGAACTATGAATCATACATGAAAGGTGATCTAGCACCATCGGAACAGTCAGGACAGATGAAATTGCTAGATAGGCATCCTAATAACATGCAGGTTTGTGGACTTCTAATTACCTGTGAATTCAAATTATACTCAGCATTGCAACTACATTTTGGAAAATAGTTTTCTTTTTATTTTTTTCTTTATGGAGTATGCTTATTTGAATTTATTGTATTATTGTGATTTCAAAACAAGACTGTGAAATAGTCCTTTTTGATAATTGAAAACCTCTAAATTCAATGTTTTCAAAATTTTGGAAAGAAATAAATGCTTGTAAGTATAATTTTTAATGAACAAGCACATCAGTTACATAGTCGAGCAAATGAAAATCAGGCAATATCATAATCAAATTAATTGAATTTCAGCACTCTTGACTTCTCTCTGTACACTCAATTTTTCTTTCGAAACGAATTCTTGGTGCAATTTCTTGAAAATAAAAAGAGTTTAGATATATCAGCACAACACTGTCTAATTGTGTGTAGAAAGAGATCAAATCTTGCTGTAGATGGTTCACGTTAAAACCTGAGTATAGTTTGTATTTATAAACATCAATATTAAAATCATTTGCCAATACAATATTTGAATTAGACACTTTGTTGTATGTCTATATGTTTTTTGACTTGTCCTATAGCTGTATTTGCTCGAATGGATAAATAAAGAATTGAAATTGAATTGAAATTGTACAGATTTCAAATTATCGAAATTTTGAAATCAATAAAATGGATTCTACAAAATTTGGAAAAGGTAACATATCCCAGCAGATGAATTGGTCCACCTTGCTTCTACCAGTGTTTTGTTAATGAACTTATAAGCAGAATATTGAAAAAAAGGCATTTTTTTGTGGACGAAATCAGAGTTTTTCCTACGGATCTTTCTGCTAGGAAACTCTCTCCTAGAATCTGAAAAAATTATAATTGTAATGGACATCTCTATACAGGCGTTGAAACGGAAAACTTATCACCCTGATAAGTTACTCAGTAAATTGCTCTTTTTCTTCTATAAGCAAAACTATTAATTAAATTTATATACAGTGTGTCAATTTGAAAACTTCCCACCCTCAATATCTCCCTTCCAGTACATAATATGAAAAAATGGTCAGACAGGTCAACTTTATTTGCAAGGGGGACACTCTGAATGAATATTTTCAACCCTCGGGGTTCAACCCCCTAGGAGGGGTGGATGTTACCCTCAGAATTTCAAATGGAAAGGGGGGTCAAGTGGCACATCATTTTGAAGGGCATTCAATTC